ACGTACTACTACGTTAGTAGAGTACCAACTTACTTCGTTTTGGTTAGTAGTCACACCTCTCTCTCTCTCTCTCTCTCTCTCTCTCTCTCTCTCGCAATTGAGCAAAAGACAAAATCAAAAACAAAAAATGAGGTGTCCCAAATTTCCAATTTATGTATGTAAGCAGAAATAGAGATAGTCAAGGCATTTCTTTAATTTATTCAATATACAGCCTAACTGTCCAATTTATGTATTCCAACAGTCCAAGTACATTTATTTAAATGTATTTCAAATGAAAGCAAACTACCCCAAATAATGGATCTACAAAAGAAGAAGTGCAGGCTTTAACAATATAAAGTTCTTGAACTAAATTCTTATCCTTTTGCCTGATGTTATACTCAATGACGTACCTGGGCCAACACAGTGAACAGTTCAAAAAGATGCCTGGTCTCAGATGTCTTCAGCAGAGCAACAAAAGGTCTATGCAGTACTGGCATCCTAGAGGCTTTCACCATCTCAAGTAGAGAGCTAATTATCACACACCTCCAATACGTAGATGATATTCAAGAGTTCTGAGACATACAGCTCCGATAAATTGTGGCTCTTCCTAACTCAGGTGTGTTCCCGAACTACTGATCGCTTTCCAAACACATATCTGAGGTTCCCAGTTTGCATTGGAAAACCCATAAAATCGCTTTGGGATAAGGTTTTCTAGAAGATCGAGAGAAGATTGGCCCTATGGAAATGCCTTTACCTAGCAATGAAAGGAGAGATACCCCTATTGCAAACACAAGGTGGTTGGTCAAATGTGTATTACAAAATTAAGAGATTCAGCCTCTGCTCTTGTTCGAAAATGGTTATGGAAATTATCTATCCATCAGGGCCACCTCTGGCATCAGATGATTCATCACTTGGGATCGTTACCAAAAGCTCCAAACCAAGGTTCCAAGTGGATTAGAGCAATAACAAAACTTGGAAACAATATTAGATTTTGGAATGACCTATGGCAAGGATATGCTCTATGGGAAGCCATTTATCTTAGACTCTATCAGTTAACAGTCAATCTATATGGACAAATCCAAGACTTTGTGCAAATTGTAGTGACACAAACCATATGGACTCCACTTCTTCCATCAAAAAGACTCACCCACAAAAAGAAGACATATCTACAAGCTACTCATAGTTACCATGATCTCCCACCCATGGGTCAATCATGCTTTGAAAGCTCGCTCCTGTGCTCCAGGGTGGGGGATCTTGCTCCTATACAATTTTTAGACTTTGGGATCTTGATCCTTACTATCAGGAATAGAGATCCTAAGTTATGAGGATCCAAATTCCTTTGCATCATATCATAGGGTGCATGCGTAAACTGAACTGCGGTACCACCAATATGAGGTCAAAATTCCCTTAGTGGTAGACTCTATTGTCCCTCTTGATCTCTTTGATAGGTCATGAGTTCGAAGCTTGAGCTTCAGCTTAATCTTAAGTTATTATGTATCATATTAGTTCCATGCAATGTTCAAAAATGCAGATACAGCTGCCTAGAGGGCCAATGGCCTGGACCGCCTAGGCTGCAAGCCCAGATACCTGGGCGGCCCTAAGGGAAGGGGGTTCGGGTGGAGCAATATGTTGTTTTGTGTGTGTTTTGTGAATGCATGTGTATATGTTTAGTGTGTGTTTGTGCATGCGCACGTATGTGTGTGCGTGAGGTTGCGCAGGAAATTCTTAAAGATCCATCCTCTTTTTTTCTTTTCTTTTTTTTTTTTCTTTTTGGATTTGTATTTTTCAGAGACAGGTCTCGCACTTGGAGGATATGTTGAGAGAGTGAGAGAGAGAGGGACCTCGCATAGAACACTTGGAGGTCACTTCTTCTTACGTGTAAAGTGGGAGCATATGGGTCCATGTACATCTTTGTGTGTGTATGTGTATGTGTATGTGTATGTGTATGTGTGAAAGAGGGAGAGAGGCCACACATCGAACACTTCGAGTCCATCTTCTTCTTCTTCTCATATGTAGAGGGAGCACATGGACCTGAGAGAGAGAGAGAGAGAGAGACAGAGAGGCAAGACCAGGCCTCATTTTCGTTCGGGTAGATTTTGAAATTTTCGTTTTTTTTTTTTGAAGGATGGCACTAGGTGGGTGCCCGCCTTGACCGCCTAGGTGCTAGCTTTAGGCATGCCCGCCCGGACTCCACCGCCTAGGCAGTTTGTTGGCCAGGCAGCTAACCTTTTCTTCACTGGTTGCATGTTTTCTTCACACAATTTCCAATGGTGGTGAATTATATTGTCCCTTTTGGGCTCTTACCACATGACGAGTGACCAAGAACTAGAACTTAAGACTTCTCTGAATACTATTATTCAACAAAGTAGGATGGACATGATTCATGAAGTCATAAACTACACTAAAAGAATGCAAAAATCTAAATATTATATAAAGAATTAGTTTATATATGGTTGCAACCTTAAAATGTAGAATTAAAGATGCACATCGAAAATTCATCAGAAAAGGTTGTTTTAATGGTGAAAAACCCTCTAATTAATCACCTCGAAATCGAGATGTATGAATATGAAAAAAAAAAAAAAAATTGAGTATCAAATAAGAGCTAAACTAAACTTTGATGGAAGTCAAGAGGCAATCCAGGACCTGCAGGGTGTGCAGGTCAATTTAGAGATCACCGAGATCATATACTACAAATGTACGCTAGAGAATTTGGCATATGCGACTCTATGAAAGCTGCTTCATCCTTCTTGTTGGAATTCATAACTTTAACAGAAGTTGGGGAAGCTACTTGGTCATTGAAGGCGATTCAGCCAACACAATCTCATGGGAAAAAGTGAAACCTCAACTCAATAGATGCTCAACCAAGCATTAAATGAATTACACCATCTATGCTTGGACCTATGGTCAGTTGGTCACTTTCAAACATACTTGCAAACCAAGCAGTGGACTCCCTAGCAAAGAAAGGGACAGACTTAACATCCCTTACCCATAGGGCTCCGGCTGACCCGACCTGGATCCATACCCTAACTTGGCCGGGACCAAATTATAGCTAGACAGGGACCTATCGCTGGGTCTAAAAGGAGGGGCCAGACTTGAACACAGGCCAGATCGATCCAACACCCAATTGACAAAGCTAATCACCCACCCAGCCATACGCAACTAATAACCTTCAACACAAACAATTCAGTCATATACTATGTAGAGATTTTGTTTATTCAACTTTTTCACCCCACTTTGTGGAACTTACACACTATCGTATCATTTTAATCAAATCGTTAATTATATAAAAAAAAAGAAACAATAGAAGAAAGTTATGATGAACATGTCGTTATGATCACCATTCAATACTCTAAAAAACACAAGCACCAATGGGACTTCGCGAGTGACTGACTAGAATCAGCTCGTTAAGCCACGAGTTGACTAGCAGAGTCTTGACCAAGTTGAAGAAAAAGGTTCAAGAATACTGGAAAAGAATAGGAAAAATAAGAAAAGAA